TAAAGTAGGTATGCTTTTTATTCAGCGCTGAGACAAACGGGGATAATTCCTCAAAGTCATGCGTACCTCAGTGTTGTTTCCCTCTACATTTATAAGGTTGCACCATACGCCTATACATATTCATATCCTATCCCCGCTTCGTATTACAATGAGTTAGAAGGTCCTTTGCGCCTGCGCAGTGCCCTCTCTGGTCATGGGCAGGGGTCTCAAGATGAAGTAAATGAGTCTTCCTCCTGTGGGTAGGGGTCTTCAAGATGAAGTAAATGAGTCTTCCTTTTCTTGAACTTTTCACCTTTTAGTCTTCACTTATGGCCTTAGGGTTTGGTCCCAGCCATAAACCATCTGCTTCTCCCCCTTAAAGATTCAGGAGTCTGCTTTTCTCTATCAATAGGTGCTTATCAGTAGAATCAGGTGTCTGCTTTTCCTTATCAATAGTTAGTGCCTTTGTTCTGCTTAGTAGGCATGATTTGTACAGACAATACCTTTGCTTAAGCAAGCAAATTCCTCTAACCCCCCTGTACAATGTGTTTATTATGAGAATAAGACTGATAGAATCATAGAATAGTTAGGGTTGGAAAGGACCTTAAGATCATCAAGTTCCAAGTTCTGGGGGTGCCCAAGAAATTGGGAGGGGACACATCTGAGACAGCTGACCCCAACTGACCCAAGGGATATTCCAGACCATATGAAAGTACGCTCCATAAATGAACTGGGCAGATATCTGGCCAGCAGCTGCTGCTCAGGAACTGTCTAGGCATCAGTCAGCAAGTGGTGAGCAGTTGTATTGTACATCACTTGTTTTGTATATTCCACCTTTTTATCATTATTTTCTTCCTTTTCTTTCCTATTAAACTGTCTTTATCTCAGCCCAGGAGTTTGAGTTTTTTGATTTTCTCCCCAACCCTACTGGCGAAGAGGGGCATGATGAGCAGCTCTGTGGTACTAAATTGCCATCTGGGGTTAAACCACAACAATGGTATAAAGCACATGAAAAATTAAGGTATGAAAGCATACTCATTAACAAGTAAGGATTAAATACTTGAGGTATTCCCCCAAGGCCTTATAGATTATCAGATTTTCTACAATGAGACAAGGAGGCACAAAAGCACAAAAATGTAATCAGTTCTAAATAATGTTAAATTTGATAGCTTTGTAATGGAAAGTAACTGTGGTGCTTGAAGGTAGTTGACATAGTTTTAGGTCCTTAGGACCTTAGTACAAGAAGTGTAAGAAAAGCAGAACAGAGAAACAGGACCTGGGGATGGGGAGTATCTGGGACTAGAAGATGTCCAGGGTGGGCACAGTTAACCTAACTGATAAATAGAAAGACAGGATAATTGCTATGTTTGTGGTGTTAATGAACCCATTAAGCCAGTGTAAACATCTACTGGGGAGTATCCAGGACTAGCAGATGTCCAGGATGGAAGCAGTTAAACTAACTGATATGTAGAAGGACAGGATCATTGCTATGTCTTCAATGTTAATTAAGCTGGTGCTTCAAAGACTGCCAGAAGTTATGAAGATTGTTGGGAAAAGTAAACGACCCTAAAAGACCACCATCACATTTTTGCATGCAGGGGGGAAACTTTCTGGAAAATGATGTAATTCATGTGTAGCCTCATGAATATGCATGTATGCCCAGGGACTATATAAGGATGGCCTGAGTAGCAATATGGGGACATACCTTAGGAGGAGCTATCCCCTGTGTCTCCCGGTGCCACAATAAAGAATACCTGCCTGTCAACTTCAAACTGTTGGTGAGTTTGTTCCTGGAGTTATATCCAAATCAACAAACACCATATAAAAAACATATGGATATACTCCAGCCTTCGGATATGAAAATATACCTTCTTCCTTCTCCTCTCTCTTTCTTTCCTCCTGAAGTAAGCTGACAGCACAACCAAAACAGCAGTTCTAAAATAATATAAATGTTCTTGCTAATGCTTTGAATGTTACAGGGCTACATGCAAGTAAAATCTAATTCAAAGTGAAAAAAAGCAAGCATTCAAAAACTCAGAGGGGAAGCACTAGAAGGTAGAAAAAGCACTGGTAGCAGAACAATAAGGAAAACAACAAAACCCACAAAAATCAAAAATATTAAGTGCAAATAAATATAAAGACAACAGAAGATGTGCCAAAACAGATCCTGAAATACGTCTCTTTCACTTGCAAAGACCTCACAAATCTGTAGCTGTAGTATACTGGAAAGAAAGTCTTTCACACACCCTAATCGTTACTAAGGAACTGCCTGAACTTAACAACTGGAAGAAGTTAAATGGTATGCCATAAACAGCTGGTACTAATGACCAAAAAAATAAACCAATGGTAATTAGAATTAAGACTTCAGAATGAAGATCCTGATGGAATCTTTGGACAACTCTAGTGAAGAATGGTGTTGACTGAAGAATAGGGTTGTAAATATGTAACTTTGAGGACATTAGGCTTTGTTAACAACTATAGAGAAAAGGAAACTGCTAAAATAAGGTTTGCCAGAACCACCTGGTGGGTTACTGACATGACAACGATCCTAAAACAAAGTGAAGAAATAACCACCAGGGGTCCCAAAGCCCACTACCACATATTAGTGTTCATGCAGGATGCATTCTTTAAAAGTATGATGTAATGTTTGTAATCTAATGAATATGTATGTTTAAGGACAATATAATTACAGCCTGGTTGATGCTTGGATGAGACACACTTGGAGGAGCACTCCCCCATGTCTCCCAGCACCGCAATAAAGAATACCTGCTTGTCAACTTAAACTTTGGTGACGAGCTCCTGCAAATTTTTCTGAATCACTAGTATGTGATCTTCAAAATATTTAATAGGTTGATTACTAGGGAGATCACAGTCACAACTGGTTTTAGCAGCACATTTTATAATGTGTTACAGTCATGATTCATCACCATGAAATGCAAAGTTATTGCACAATTTGAGTATAGCCTGATAGCAGTACAATGCTCCCACATTTCTGAGATTTCATAGGACATTTAGAATACAATCTATTCCAAGGCTGAAACTACAAGCGCCAACATGTTATCAGATATTCTTCTACAAAGACTCCCAAGAGGATAAAGAAAAATCTGCACAACTACAGATACCAACCAACCAGGAAACTGACTATAGAAATCAGCTTCCTATTTCTTTCAAGCTAAATAAAATAAACTTGAAGGAAAAAAAAAAAAAAAAAAACAACAAACCAAAACACCAAAATACCCACACAAAAAAAAACCCAGCCAATATCTCAAGAACTTACCTTCAGACTTCAACTTGGTAAGAACAAAAATCAGATAGTTGTTGAAATCTGGATACTGATTGAGTTGTTCTAGTTTCTGAAGAGAGAAATTGCTAAGGAAGTTTGAATCTTCACACACAACACTTATAGCTTTCTGAATACTATGATTATTACACATTGTACTACATCATTTCAAAGAGCTGTGACTACAAGTTCACAACATACAGAGAGTATGAACAATCTGAAAGCAGCTTCTGTAATTTTCATACTGAAGTAGCAGCTTTTACTTACACTGAAATCTGAAAAAAATAAAAAAAATTTAAAAAAATCATCCAAGGCCAGACACAGAATTTAACAGACTCTTTAAAATATTTCTAAAGGAAAAAAAAAAAAAAACACAAAAACAAGCAAACAAAAAAAAACACACCACAAAAAACCCTACGAAGCAAAACTACAAAAAACCCCAACTAAACAAAAACAAAACAAAACCACACCCCCACCACCTTCCTCTGTGGTTTTAGATTTCAATGTTTACACTTAAAAGCCAGCAAAGCCCAAGGAATCCAGAGAGACACAATCCCATAACACATTTCTTTCCTCCACAATAAAAGCATTTCAGCATTAAAATACAACAGCTACTACGATTTTGATAAGCTACTCACTTAAATGTTGTCATTTTAATATGTCCCTGCCCATGGCAGGGAGGTTGCAACCAGATGATCTTAAGGTCCTTTCCAACCCAATTATATGATTAGTCATATACTTTTTTAAGATACTAACTAGCCACAGCCTGAGCTTTCAACAGTAAGAACCTGTTTAATTGTAAATGCCCAGATATTTGTACCAAGTTCTTCATGCTTGTCCATGGTCTCTTAAAAAAAAAAAAAAAAAAAATGCAAAAAACAAAACAAAAACAAAACAAACAAAAAAACCCCAAACAAACAGAAACAAACCAACCAAGAAACACCAAACAAACAAACAAAAAAAATCCTTCTGTACACAAATCAATTTTCTAGAGTGACCCCTCTCTAAGTATCTTCGTAGCAATAAAAACCTATTCACTATGTCCTTGGGGAAACTGCAAGAATTATTAGGTTTCTGAAGAGCTAGAAGGTATGTAGTTTCTATAAATTTTGTCATTACTTCTGCATGAAATTTCTAAGTATTCTGCCACTGCTTGGCTAAAACAGTGATCTGTCATTCTCCCTGTATCCTGTTCTCATGCCCTGGTATTAATTAGTATGATGCTCAACAATATTTAAGTCATAAGCATGCAATTTCATCTTTAAGTTACTATACCTACTAGATATCAGTATGGCAAACAATCAAGACATTAACATAATATTATTTTTAGAAAAAGATTATTTGCTTATTAGACATTTACTTTACTTGCTCTATAGCTAAAATCTCTAAATATCCAAAAAGTCGCTAAATTTCAGCAAAACGTATTTATGTTAGGACACTGATTGTCCTTCCAATGACCAAACAGCCTGTAGTAACTTTGCTAGAGAAACCTGCCCTCTTTGGACTTAATAACAGAGGAAGTGTACTTATCACAGCCACAAGCTCCTTTGCTGTGAAACACACAGGAGATAAAATGTAAACAGAAGAATGGTCACAGCAAGTGAAAAATAACACAGAACATTCTACATAGCCCCTTAGAAGTAAAGAAACAGATATCCAAAGATTGTTGTCAAAGGTGTCATGCCAAAAAGCTTTTCCAGCAACTAGCTGAAGTAGGGCAGCATCTCTCAATATTTCTCCTTCTTCTCCAAGCTTCAGAAACATAATCACCAAAACATTTAGTCAAACATTACTAACAACTATGAATTCTAATGGCTTAAACAAGAAGCAGCAACATAAGCAAGCAGAAATAACTGAAATGGCAGTATTAAATACAAAATTAACCTGAACACACCTAATCAGTCTAGGAATCAAATAATAGCTTATAGGCCATATTAGCCTATAAATTTCTTCACCCACTAACTTTTTCTTTTTTACTCCAAGAAACACATATTTTAATTCAAAAATGTCTGAAAGCCTTACCAATGCATAACTTTGTTAACAAATGGTTTTGGCTAAACTATGCTCCTCGCTTCATTACATTTGAGGTTCTAAATATGCCAAAACTGTGTCATAATGGGCATGAAAGAGTCAACGCTGGAAGTACTTTAAATTTGAAAACATTAATCACCAGGCTGCTTGGACACGCTATTAAGTAGCATCACAAATTTTTTTGCGGAAACAGTCTCAAAGGACATTTCCCCCAGTTTGTTTTTTTTTTTTTTAATTATAGGACATGGCCTATCAAGTTGCATTAAAACGTTTCCCAAACTGATAATACAACGGTAAAAATGTGCCATTTGCCTAACCTTTACAGGTCAACATATGAGGCCCTCTCTTACCACATTTAATAACAATTTTAAACATCAGTTAACAGCACTTTTGTTCAGTAAATTTCTACTCCTCTTCAAGACAGACAGCACCACCTATATTGCCCAACCTACACACACACTGCTGTTTTTCAAAACAAACAAACTAGATGCCATTAGGTTATTTGAAGCAGAGCTTTAAAATGTAATTTTACATGAAAGCTACACTATAAACACTGTTGCATTTGAAATACTCAAGAAGAGCATTTGGGACATTATAAGAATGCTTAGCCAATTCTGTATAACATTCCTGAAAGGAAGCAAAACCATCTTAAGAAGCTAAAACATAGCTGCAACAAGACGAAAACTGCCTTCACCTTTCAGATAGGAAGTCTTACAAAGTTTGACCACATCTGTTAGGAAAACAGAAAAGTCAAGCAAATTTGGATTCAAGCTAAACTTCTAACATTATTCCTTTTATATATACTTATATGTATATAGAAGGATATCCTTTCAGGACTTCTAAATATCTTAAAGCACTTGCATAGCTAACTCAGGGAGTAGGAGACAGTAGATGGGAGATGCTCCTCAATCTCAGTTCCTTAAAACCTCGCTATTTCATCACTTCTACGATCAAGAGAGACTTGGGGGCTGGTGGGGTGCAACACGACACCCAAACAACAAACCAGCGATACACAACACTAACATAAAATGCACCGCAAAGCTTCACAAGAAGTCGCATAAGGTAAATTTCCCCCTTCTCATAAAATGTAAAGAGTGTAACAAACAGTATTTCAGGCTCAAGACTCCAGGCAAGTCAAAACATATAGTGTAGCAAAATACTGTCAGAGCCAGCAGGCCAACGAGAGCATGCAGGCAGCGGCTCCACTACGGGCACTCCTCCCACTAACTATGGCTTTCGCCTTGAATACCAGCGCAAGATTTTAGGAAGCCCCTACTCAAGCCCCGTTTTGCCGCGGGTGCCCCGCGCCGCTCCGCCAACTCAGCCCAGCAGACAGCACGCCCCTCCTCCCCCCCCGCTCCAGCCCCCTCGGTGGGATCCGCCGCGGCTGAAAGCTAGGCGCTGGCAGCAGCCCAACGTGAAGTAACCTGGGAAAGTAGCAGATACTGAAAAGCTGCCACGCCATATCTTCAAAGCCAAAACAAACCCGGAACTTGGCTCTGGACTCACAACAGGTGCCCAGGCTCCCGACAGGAAAAGGCAACCCCGCAGCCCACAGGCTACCTCGGCAGTTCAAACGCCGCGCTACGACCACCCGCTCCGGCCGAGACTCGGCCCACATCACTCGCTGTAGCCGCTCCCTGGACAGGCTAGGCTGCCGCCGCCTTGCAGCAGCCTGTGATCGCTCTGCCCCCACCCCCGGCACCCCTGGCCTCCCTAGTACCCGCCCGGACCACCACAGCTCCGCTCTGCCTATGCGCTTCACCCGGCCCACCCTCCCGTGCACTGTAGGCCTCGATCAAGGATACTTGTTGCACGGCTCTCTGCGTGGTGGTGTCCGGGGACTGGGACTCCTTAAGCAGCTGCAGGATCTGCTTAAGCCCCTGTTCGTCAGGTTTCCACTCATACTCCATCTTGCTTGCTGAAAAACGTAGCCGCAGTTTGCGGCACAGCAAGCCCTGGGGGAGTGGAACAAGGAAGCAAATAAGCTAGCTAAGCACTTAACTAGCTGCGCGACGCCCCGCCCACTCTCACCCACACACCCCGCCGACTCCGAGCCCGGCCCCACAGACAGCACTAACCTGCTCCAGCCGTCGCACGCTGTACGCAAACACCGAGCACATTAAATCACGACGAATTTGCAATCTGGCTCTAAGAGCCGCCTCGCATCCTCCTGGGTCCTAGCGCCAGGCACGTCCCCGCCCGCCCGCCCAAGCCTCCTCGGACCTGCCGACATAGCCGTCAGCCTTTCGCCAGTGCGTCCCACATCGTCAGGAGCATGGGGGCAACAAAACAAGAACCGCTCTACAGCCGCTCCCCACCACCCGAAAACAGAAAGTAAGCTCCAGCAGCCCCGACAGGAGAGGGGTGAAGCAGAGTTCCGGCCTCCTTGGGACAGCTGCGGCCTTGCACCGCAGTGCCTGGCAGCAAGTTCTACTCACGGAGTAGAAGCGGGGATGTGAATGCAGACCCGGGAGTTAGGAGCATGTACCTGCTCTGCTGTCTGCTTTATTTTTATGTGAGTTGGTCAGTCTCACCTCTGTGCCTCGCAAAATCTTGGAGCAGATTCTCCTGGAAGTCATGCTAAGGCACATGGAAAACAACGAGGTGCTTGGTGACAGACTGTATGGCTTCACCAAGGGGAAATCCTTACTGACCAATTTGGTGGCCTTTTATGATGGGGCTACAGAACTGATGGACAGCGGTAGAGCAGTTGATGTCATCTACCTGGATTTGTGTAAAGCTTTCGACACTGTCCCGCATGACATCCTTGTCTCTAAATTGGAGAGACATCAATTTGATGGATGGACCACTCGGTGGATAAAGAACTGGCTAGATGGCCACACACAGAGTTGTGGTCAGTGGCTCAATGTCCAGCTGGAGACCACTAACGAGTGGTGTCCCTCAGGGATCAGTGTTGGGACCCGTCTTGTTTAACATCTTTGTTGTTGACATGGAGAGTGGGATTGAGTGCGCCCTCAGCATGTTTGCCGATGGCACCAAGCTGTGTGGTTCGGTTGATACGCTGGAGGGAAGGAATGCCATCCAGTGGACACGCTTGTGAGGTGGGCTGATGCCAACCTCATGAAGTTTAACCATGCCAAGTGCAAGGTCCTACACCTGGGTCGGAGCAATCCCAGACACAGCTACAGGCTGGGCAGAGAAGGCATTTAGAGCAGCCCATGATTTGCTCCATGACTTTCCTGGGCACTGAGGTCAGACTGATAGGACTGTAGTATCCTGGGTCCTCTTTCCTGCCCTTTTTGTAGTGAGGCATCATGCTGGCCAACCTTCAATCCTCGGGGACCTACCCACTAGATCAGGACTGCTGATAAATTATGGAGAGTGGCTTGACAAGCTCCTCTGCCAAGCTCCTTCAGAACTCTTAGGTGGAACCCATCTGGCCCCTTAGTCATGTGTACATCTAAGTGAAGCAGGAGGTCACTAACCATTTCTTCCTGGATAATGGGGACTTCAATCAGCTCCTCATCTCTGCCATCCAGCTCAGGGGACTGAGTGCCCTGAGGATGGCTGGTCTGACTATTAAAGACTGAGGCCAAGGCAGCATTAAGTACCTCAGTCTTTTCCTCATCACTGGTCACTAGGATTCCCCCAATACCCAGTAAAGGATGGAAGTTATCCTTGGCCCTCCTTTTATTGCTAATATATTTGTGAAAGTGTTATTTATTATTTTTTATGGCAGTGGTCAGATTAAGTTCCATCTGTGCCTTCGTCTTTCTTTTCTCTCTCTATGACCTAGCAACATCCATGTACTCCTCATGGGGCAACAGTCCCTTCTGCCACAGGTAATATAATCTTTTCCTGAGTTCCAGCAATATCTCCCTGTTTGGCACATGAGGACCGCCTGCTCCTGTGCCTTGAGGATTTCATTCTTGAAGAGTGTCCAGCCTTCCTGGACCTCTTTGTTTTTCAGTAATGTTTTCCAAGGAGTTCTGCCAACCATTATCCTAAACAGGCCAAAGTCAGCTCTCTGGAAGTTTAAGGTGGTGGTTTTGCTGAACTTCTTCCTGACTTCTCCAGGGACTGAAAATTCTCTCATTTCATGATTGCTTTGCTCAAGACTGCCTCCAACCATCACATCACACACCAGTCCTTCTTTGTTCATGAACAGCAAATTTAGCTGGGCGTCTCCCCTACTTGGCTCACTCACCAGCTGGATCAGGAAGTTATCATCCACACTGTCCAAGAACCTCCTGGACTGTTTCTTCTCTGCTGTACTGTGCTTCCAGCAGACATATGCCAGGTTGAAGACCCCACAAGAACAAGGGCTAGCGATCGTGAAACTTCTGCTGTTTGAAGAACACTACATCTGTAGCTTCATCTTGGTTGTGTGGCCTATAAGAGAGTCCTACCAGGATATAGAGTCATAGAATCACAGAATGACTAGTCTTGGAAAGGACCTTAAGATCATATAGTTCCAATTCCCCTGCCAGGGGCAGAGACATTTCACGCTAAACCATGTTGCCCAAGACCCTGTCCAACCTGGCCTTGAAGACTGCCAGGTATGGAACATTTACCACTTCTTTGGGCAAACTCTTCCATTGCCTCACCACCCTCACAGTAAAGAACTTCTTTATTATATCTAACCTGAACTTACCTGTTATTTTAAAACTCATTCCCCCTTGTCCTATCATTACAGTCCCGAATGAAAAGTCCCTCTCTGGCATCCTTGTAGGCCTCCGTCAGATACTGGAAGGCTGCTATGAGGTCTCCACACAGCCTCTTCTCCAGGTTGAACAGCCCCTTCATACGGGAGGTACTCCAGTCCCCTGATCATCCTTGGGGCCATCCTTTGGTCTTGTTTCAACATTTCCATGTCCTTCTTATGCTGAGGACACCAGAAATGCACACAGTCCTCCAAGTGAGGTCTCAGGAGAGCGGAGTAGAGGGGCAGGATCACCTCTTCCAACCTGCTGGTCACACTTCTTTTGATGCAGCCCAGGACATGTTTGATTTCTGGGCTGCAAGTACAGACTTCTTCTCATGCCCCACCTCACTGTAGAGCATGAGGCAGAAAAGTCCTTTATTGAAGTAAACATTACTTAGCAAAAACTAAAAACACTGGTGTGTTGTCAGTGCTGTTCTCAGGCTAAAGTAAAAAATACAGCACTGTGCCAGCTACTAAGAGAAGGAGAAAAATAAGTGTTACAGCTGAACCCAGGACACAGGTTTACAGGACTGTGTGGATCAGATTGCCTGGCACGTCAGTCCCACAGGAGTATATCTCGTAGATACCAGCAGAGAGTGTACTCTGATACCATCAAGCTATCAAGGGGTGAAACCCATTTGTAATTCTGGAATAACAACAAGATCCCAAGAGTTGACTTTACTGGAGTCTAAAATCAGCCTGACTGGGAAGGAGTGGCAAAAGCACCCCATTGTGACTGTTCCAGAGGCTCCAGGTGTCCTTGGCATAGACTACCTCAGGAGAGGGTACTTCAAAGACCCAAAAGGGTATCAATGGGCTTTTGGTATACCTGCCTTGGAGACAGAGGAAATTGAACAGCTGTCCACCTTGTCTGGTCTCTCAGACGATCCTCCTGTTATGGGGTTGCTGAAGGTCGAAGAACAACAAGTGCCAATCATGCCCACAACAGTGCACTGGTGGCAATATCGCACCAACTGACACTCCCTGATTCCCATCCATAAGATGATCCATGAACCGGAGAGCCAGGGAATGATGAACAAGACCCGCTCACCCTTTAGTAGCCTCATATGGCCAGTGCAAAAGCCTAATGGAGAGTGGACACTAACAGAAGGCTATTGTGGCTTGAATGAAGTCATGCCACCATTGAGTCCTGCCATGCCAGCCTTTCTAAACTTCAATATGAACAGAAACCAAAGGCAGCCAAGAGGAATGACGCAATTAATACTGCCAATGCATTTTTTCAATTCCTTTGGCAGGAGAGTACATGCCACAGTTTGCTTTTACATAGGGTAGCATCCAGTACACTTCGGACTGACTGCCCCAGGGGTGGAAACACAGTCTTACCATCTGCCATGGACTGATCCAGACTGCACTGGAATAAGGGCAAGCTCCAGAACACCTGCAATATATTCATATCATTGTGTGGGGCGATACAGTGGAAGAAGTTTTTCAAAAAGGGAAGAAAATAATCCTGTTGAAGGCCAGTTTTGCCGTTTTGCCATAAAACAGAGTAAGGTCAAGGGACCTACACAGGAGATTCAATTTTGGGGAATTAAATGCCAACATTGGACATTGCCAGATCCCAACAGATATGATCAACAAGATAACAGCAATGTCTTCACCAACTAATAAGAAAGACACATAAGCTTTCTTAGGTGTTCTGGGGTTCTGGAGAAAGCACGTGTAAAATTACAGTCTGATTGTAAGCCCTCTCTATCATGTGACCAGGAAGAAGAATGATTTAAAATGGGACCCTGAGCAACAACAAGTGTTTCAGCAAATTAAACGAGAAATAGTTCATGCAGTAGATATTGGGTCAGTCCAGACTGGGCAAGCTGTGAAAAACATACTCTAAACAGGAGCTGGGGAGAACGGTCTTACCTGGAGCCTCTGGCAGAAAGCTCCAGGGGAGACTCAAGGTCTACCTCTTGGCTTTTGGAGTCAGGGATACAGAGGATCTGAGGCCAACTATACCCCAACTGAAAAAGAGATACTGGAAGCCTTGTTCAAGCTGCTTCAGAACTGATAGGTACTGAAGAACATCTCTTCTTGGCACTTCGGTTGCCTGTGCTGGGCTGGATGTTCAAAGGCAGGGTCTCCTCTACACATCATGCAACTGATGCTCCATGGAGTAAGTGGGCCGGACTAATGATACAACAAGCATGATTAGGAAATGCCAGTCATACAGGCATTCTAGAAGTTATCATGGACTGGCCAGAGGGCAAAGATTTTGGAATGTCACCAGAGGAGGAGGTGATTAGTGATGAAGAGGCCCCACCATATAATCAGCTGTCAGAAAGTGAGAAGCAATATGCCTTGTTTACTGATGGGTCCTGCCGTATTGTGGGAAAGCATCAGAGATGGGAGGCAGCTGTATAGAATTCCCTATGACAAGTTGCAGAAACTGCTGAAGGAGAGGGTGAATTGAGTCAGTTTGCCAAGGTGAAACCCATCCTGGTGCCCTTGGACATTGCTTAATGAGAGAAATGGCCAATACTTCATCTCTACACTGACTCATGGATAGTG